TGGGTTGATGTTGTTAAAAGTCCCACTAGCTCCTACACTAGGGAACAAACTCAACATCAGATCAGCAGAATCAGTTCCTCTGCTAAAAAACAGTTTTATCATTTAAATGCTTGTCAGTAAATTTAAAATTGAGTTGATTTGGGGAAAACACTGACTTTTTTAAGATCATATCAGATGTATTTGGTCAACAGATCTTAGCAGTGTGTGGTAGAACTTCTTACAGTGAAATTAGTTTGTAGTAACTGAATCATCATCACTTAATCCTGTTATTCTTCCCTGTGTATCGTTAATGTTGCTCCCCATGCAATCACAGTGAACTCATTCATTAATCATCATTGATTCCACATCTGTTCCTGATCCAATGAAGTGTATCATCATTTGCATGTGACCTTTACCCATCGTTATATTTAAAAATGCTGTTAATCCAAGTCTGACCTACATTAAGCGTCTGTTTTTTCCTCCTTCAGCGTCATCAAAGAAGAAGGCCCCGACAATGAGCAGGAGCGAGGAAATGAGGAGGCAGAGGTGGTAGGTGGCGAAAGAAAGATTTTAGTTATCACACATTACTCTGTGTTTATTTTGTTGTCCTCATCCTGTGTGTGCCGCTACGTCACCAGGAGGGCAGCGATCACGAAGAAGGCGAGGAGGCAGACGGAGAGGAGGAGGACTTTGAGATGGCAGGAGAGGTGACCTCCGATGAGTCCGACTCTGAGGAGCTGGAGGAGAAAGGTAAGATTGTCATCAATTGACAAATAATCACACCTTTGGCCTGAACCGTCACAGATCTTAAAGAAATATTTCATGCTGATTTGATCACACAAGAATTCTATCAGATTAAGGGAGATATAGGCTATAGCTCGGTTTGATTCTGTGACTTTGACTTCATGTCACAGAGAAATGGTTCCAATGTCATTTTAAAGCCCCACCTCCGTATTTATATAAACAGTATGTTATCCCCATTATAAAAGTAATTGCAAAGAAATGGGTCCAATTGTCACCAAAGTTAGTTTTTTAATGTCATTAAAACCTCCAGAAGGTTTGGTCTTTGTTTTTTGAGAGGCTATTATAAAAAAATGAGGCCCGACTTTATAGGAACAGGGACGGAAAAGGCATCAAGCTAATGATGTGTTTGTGTGCAGAAAATGTCCAGGCCGACCTGGCCAACATCACCTGCGAGATCGCCATCAAGCAAAAGCTGATCGACGAGCTGGAGAACAGCCAGCGGCGTCTGCACACGCTCAAGCAGCAGTACGAACAGAAGCTGATGATGCTGCAGAACAAGATCAGAGACACGCAGCTGGAGCGGGACAAGGTGCTGCACAACATGGGTAAGACACACATTCAAAAGGAGACTTGACTTGAGCTGTAATTGATGCCTAAATACACAATCAAAACAAATGGAAGGTCACTTCATCCCATCCCTTTGTTCCTCTGCAGGATCGGTGGAGTCAGGTACCGAGGAGAAGGCCAAGAAAATCAAAACTGAGTATGAGAAGAAGCTGAGCTCCATGAACAAAGAGCTGCAGAAGCTCCAGTCGGCTCAGAAGGAGCACGCTCGCCTGCTAAAGAACCAGTCACAGTATGAGAAGCAGCTCAAGAAACTGCAGCAGGATGTGACGGAGATGAAGAAGACCAAGGTATGTTTTTATATTATTTATTTTTTACTGTCGTCTTGTTTCAGAGTTGATTTTATCTCCTGCTATGTTGTGTATGTATCCACCAGGTGGTGCTGATGCGTCAGATGAAGGAGCAGCAGGAGAGGAACAGGGCCTCAGAGTGCAGGAGGAACAGGGAGATCGCCTCTCTGAAGAAAGACCAGCGCAGAGCCGAGGTACGAGGGATGGAAACACTCACACACCTTTTTCTTTTTTATTGTATCATTACTTTTATTTTTAGTAATTATTTAACTGATATGACCAGAGGCTCAAAATCTTAAATGACCAGGAATCAAGTTTTTGTCTTCATATTACATTTTTCCACACAGCTCCAACTGAGGCAACTGGAGGCACAGAAGAGACAACAGGAGTTGATTTTACGCAGGAAGAACGAAGAGGTAAGACACTCACAATCTGTGGATAATATACCTATTTGTTTACACTCTGATGTGCAGAATTAGTGACTGTTTTGGGATCTGTGTCAGGTGACAGCACTCAGGCGGCAGGTGAGGCCTGTGTCTGGGAAGGTAAACAGGAAGGTGAACTTACCTGAGCCTCCGCAGGAGCCATCACATCGAGCCACACCGGGGAGGCTGCAGACCTCTGGAGCGTCACAATCCAATGGAGCCAGGTATCACATCAGATGTGATCTGTGGACAGTATGTGTGAGGTGGTGTGTTTAAAACTGTCGAGTGTGTATTTTAATATTTTTTAAAGTGCAATGTTTTCTTCTTCAGGAGTTCCCCAGTGCGGATGGGAAGTATCTACCTCAACAGGACAGCCAGGACCAAATGGCAGTCACTGGAGAGACGTGTCAGTGACATCATCATGCAGAGGATGACCATCTCTAACATGGAGATAGATATGAACCGCCTGCTAAAGGTAACGCTGAGTTGTCATGGACATGAGCCAAGAAAAGAAACCTATAAAGGAAGAATTTACTTGTTTCCTGTCCTTGAAAATAAATCAATTCTGTTTTGTCTTCCTCTCCCCCACCATCACAGCAACGTGAGGAGCTGACCAGACGGAGGGAGCGGGTGTCCAGAAAGAGAGAGAAGATGGCGGTGGATGGCGCCGATGCTGACCGCTCCCTGGCCTCCCTGAATGAGGAGCTGGAGTCTCTGAGCGCCAACATCGACTACATCAACGACAGCATCGCCGACTGCCAGGCCAACATCATGCAGATGGAGGAGGCCAAGGTGAGAGAACATCAGGAGTAATGTCTCATTCATCCTTGGTACTCGTGATACTTTATAACTAAAATGCAACCTTTCCCTGTTTTCCATATTAATTTGTTCCTCTCTCTTCATGCTGAGGATTTTAATAATACATATATATATATAAAATGAACTTTATAAATGTAGGTATGGCTGCAAGTGGTTCAGAGTTGGTAGTATTCATACAGTACAGTATCTGGTGGTAGCCTTATATTTAACCTGGAAATATAACAGTACTCTCAATCTTTCTGTCAAAAGTAAACAAAGTACTGCATTTTTCCAAAATTAAAACTATTCCTATAAATGAGAAGATAAGATAGAATCATCTTTAGGATTCCCACTATGGGGACATTTGCTGTGTTACAGATGAAATATGAAACATCAGAGTAATAAATAGTAAACATGCAATATAAACACAAGGAGATATAAATATACAAATAGTATTTACAATGTAAACAGAATGCATTTTTTTTCATTGTGGCAACTGGTTTCTCTTTAATATCATATGGCCTCTGCCTTGAGATAATGTATGTTATGATTTAGAACTATGCAAATAAAACAGAGTTACATTTAATATACACTGTAAACCAGATAGAAAATGAGAATTGCACTTGTTGCACAACAGCTAAACACATTGTCTAGTAACTCTACAGTGACATTTGAATAATTGTTATTATTACTCTGGGTTGCAGGAGGAAGGAGATACTGTGGACGTCACGGCTGTGATCAGCTCCTGTAACTTATCAGAGGCTCGCTTCCTGCTGGACCATTTCATGACCATGGCCATCAATAAGGTACCTACCCCTCCCACTGACTTACTGTTATCATGTGTCTCTGTGTTCACGTGCTGACACGAGGTTAAATTAATTTTATTTAAAATGACACAGCTTCTATTTTACGTTTATCAGTTATGAAGCCACTGCCCCAGCATTATAATTTTATTTTTATCATTTATGATACATATCTATTTCAAACTAAATGTACCGCATTGTATTTTAAAGGTGATGCTTATTCTCTGGTTGTCGTAGCAACATGTTTATCTGTCGTTCTCCTCAAAGCCATGTTTCCTTTATAAGCTCGAGTTCAATGAGACCTTAAATGTAATGACTTGATTGAATTAGCTTTCAATTAGATTAGATAAAATTAGATTTGATGATACCTAATTGCTCCGGCGGGGAAATGTGGTTCAACAGCACGAATAGGCGGAAGATGTGGAAGTAATTAAAACAACATGGATGAGCGCAGAGCCTTCATTAGGTTACTGAGATATACAAGTGGTGAAAAATAACTTTGCCTGGTCCACTGTGTGTGTGCATCGTCAGGGTCTGCAGGCAGCTCAGAAGGATTCCCAGCTGAAGGTCATGGAGGGCAGGCTGAAGCAGACGGAGATCAACAGCGCCACCCAGAACCAGCTGCTGTTCCACATGCTAAAGGAGAAAGCTGAGATCAACCCAGAGCTGGACGCCCTACTGGGCAGTGCTCTGCAAGGTGGGACACGCTGATAACATCAGAACTGGACTGCATGTCGACCACAAGCACAATCACCTTCTTGTGCCTCTTTTCTTTCATCGTGTGGCTACAATTTATTTTACAGGCTCCAGTTTCCTCTCTGAGATATCGTACTTTATCACTCTCCAAATTTCCTGTGAATGAACATATCGAGCTTGTAAAATAAAGAATAGCCGCCTTTTCTCATTTTTGGGTTGGATTTTGATTTGGTTTCTGCTTGTTTCTTCTGTTATGTTTGGTGTGAACTCAGAGTTAGGTTACCTGTCGCCAGGTGAGTACGAGATGCACAGAAATGTAACCGTGTCGCAGAGAGAGCTTGGCACATGCACACTGCAACATTTCCCCACTGGATTTACTCCCGCAAGAGAAGAGAGAGAGTAACAGAACCTGTTGGTCAAATATAATTATTTTGATTGTGCACTCGAGGATGCTGGAAGTGGGCCTGATTCACCCTGTAATGGCAAGAGGCTGTAACGTCAAGGCACCCACCAACTCTGACTGACTCCCAGCATCCCTGAGTGCACCGTGTATTATTTAGGTGTTTTTTGCAGCCTAAGAGCTACTTGTTAGTCTGCAACCAAATTTATGTATTTACACATTATATTTACCATACTCAACCATTTTCATCTTGTTTTCAAAAAAAGCTACAATCAATTTGTACAAGATGTCACGTGACTACAAAGCTTTTCGGAAAGTTCAAAAATTGTACGTCTGATTATTCTAAAATTTAAGCAACTTTAGATCAAAAGGGCAAATAACAATTCTGTTTCTTCAGTAGATGAAGGAATCTTGTGGTGTGCATCATCCATTTCTTCTTTTTTTTCAACTAACCAAGCTGAAGTAACGCTGTAATGCAGTGACGTGCATGGCGTGTTGTGTTAAGTCCCCTCCCCCTGTGACCCCATCTGCTAGTCAGTCCCATTTAATCAAGCTGTTGTGACTAAAAGTGAACAGCAGTAAAAACCCACACAGCAGCACAAGTGAACATTGAAGTTGTGTGCACATGGCAGTTTGTGTCTAAGTTAACGTGTCTGTAGCCGTATGTCTCTTCTCTGCTTTCTCCATTCTCCCTTTACACAGATCAAAGATGCTGTATCTCAGATCGTGTACATTTTGAGTGCAACTGTGTATAAAAATGGTTACTGACGTTCTAAATCAAGTGAGAAATAGGATCATTTTCTCATTGACTCACTTCATTTAACAAACAGTGGAGTCCACTATAGCTTCACTTTCCAAATGTGTGAGGCTACGTCTACATCGATTTTTACATTTTATACAGTCTATAGGCGATGTACAGTATTTTACACATCGTATGATGGGAGAAGCACACACAAAAAAGTAAAACCTTAATTTTTAAATCGAGTGAGGAAAGCACCCTTATGAGTAGATATTTTGGCAAAGGACATGGTCACATGTTGCATTTTTTTCAGGAAGCAACTACGCCACTAAGTATACTTTACTTTGTATATAATGTGCGTGTACTGACTGAAGTATCCGATTTGAGACACAGCAATACTCCAGCACTGTAGCTGCACTGTGGTTTTACACTAATGACTCCTGACTGCTCCATGTATCTAAACTAAACCCAATGACCTTGTTATAAACTGCCGAAGCTGTGTTACTGATATTATATGGACACATCCTTTGCTCATTTAAACATTTTGCCAGAACTTTAGTTTTATGTGTATGTGCATGTTTCCCACGGTGCAGAAAATGGAGATGACAGCAGTAGTGATGAGTCTACACCCAGCCCAGCCGCAGAGGGCAGGTAAATACCTAAAAGCACTTTTTAAATTCAGAGGTATTATTCATGTCGTAGTAGGAAAACCTCGGGTGAGATTGATAAAACTATCATCAAAACCCATTATATTCAAAGAGTAAAGAGTATTGTTAGGCTTTAAAGGTGCTTTCATGTACTGTATTTCTGAAGTTTGTGGATTCGTTATGGTTTAATACAGGAAAAAAACCAAACTCAAGGACAGTAAATGTTAAATGTCATTCACGAAGGCTCTGAATTATATAATAACAGCAAGAAAATACCTTTATTATAGCTGATCAAGGACACTGGAAGTAATAATATTCATAATTATATCTTTATTTATATTGCACTCTCTCAAAAGTATGACCACCCATTACAATAATAGAAAATAGAATAAGGTAAAATCAGAGATTGCAAGCGATAAAACTACGTTTTAAGATTTCATTTAAAGGAAGCTACTGACTCAGCCTGTCGTATTTCCTCTGGCAGCGTGTCCCAGAGCCTCTGAGCTCTTATTTCAAAAGCTCCGTCCCCTTTAGTCTTTAGCCGAGAATCTGGAACAGTTAAAAGACTCCTGCCAAAGGATCTCAAAGTGCAAGCAGGGTTGCAGAGGTTTAAAGATTCGCAATATACAGAGGATTCAGACCAAGTGTAAGTAATTTAAAGAGCCTTAAATCAAGTAGGGGTGCTGAGGGGTATAGAGACGCTATAACTGAAAGGCAAAAAAAGTTTTATGAAACAAATAAAACTAGTTTAATTAAATTAAATTTCTTAGGCCACCATTTTGAGAGTTGCAGAGTAGTAGGTCTAACACCCACCAATTGTGATTTTCTGTAATATTTGATTTCATTTTAGAACCTTCAGCATGTTTTCTGCGTTGCTTATCTGATGCTTAAAAGTAAAATGTGACAACATTTTGATGAAACATGTTATGTTATTAATTTTGTTCGAGTTGGAATAACTGTATGAAATCTCCTGACAATGTTTCAGCTCACTTGCAACGGATCTGATGAAGTTATGTGGTGAATCCAGACCGAGGAATAAGGTACTGTATGGCGTGTTTCTCCAGGTTTGAGCAACAGCATGAGATTACAGATGAATGTCTTTTCGATTACTTCCTGTTTCCCATTTCACAGTGTTTATTTTTAGGATTTGGAATAATTAGTAACTGGTTCATTAACTTGTGAGTCAGCTCAAACGTCCCCTGCTCCTCTCAGGCTCGCAGGCGGACCACCACGCAGATGGAGCTGCTGTACGCCAGCAGTGGGGATCTGTCCCGTGAATCCCCCACCGGAGACTTCTCGGCCGCCTTGCTGCCCCTTACAGAGTGCCTGGAAGGGCCGGTGGACATGCAGGGTCGCGCGGGCAGTCAAACTATTGACCGCGAGCAAACCCCATCTGCACCGTCTGCCAGGCCAGCTGGCATGTAAGTGTTTAAGGCAGGATTTCTCCACATTAAACAAAAAACATATCTAAGGAGCTTGACTCTGAAATGTGGTGTTTTTATTATATTATTTAGTCAACAATTCTACCCTGCCAAAGTTCCCTTAAGCTAATTCGTTTATCTGTTACTGCACTAAAGTACAAAATGAACCCTCACAACTCTTCTGTCTGTAGATCTGGGTCCAGGTCCCCCACAGGGACAGAGAGGAGGCAACTGGAGCGCTCGCCCCTCAACCGAAGGAAGATGCCAGACAAAGGACTGACAGCAACACACATCCCAGCACCTGCACACACACCTCCTGTCAGCACGGCAGAGACCAAAACCAAAGGCAGCGACTACAAGTTATTGTAAGTCATTTTAAATAACCAGTAATCAATACAACAGCTTTTTGTTTTATGATCATGCATGAGGCAAGACGGCAGTGTTGGTCGCTGCATCTTTCTGGAATAAATCACCTTGACAACTACTACATGGATCACTTTAAAATAAAGCACACATATTCAATATACTCACACAGTGAAGTTCTAATGACTTTCTCTCTAGCGCCACCTTTAGGTTGACATTTGTGCTTTTAATTGAATATTTTTTTTGTTTGTTTATTTGATTGGGACCGAGAAAATTAATGAACATTAATATACAATGCCAAATTTAAATTAGCCGGTTTTGGCAAGAATGATGATTTACACTTGTTTTTCGTTGGCAGATTAATAAATAAAGAATGTGTGTCAGACACCAGGACACAAAAAGGACAAAACACCTAAATAGTATCATTTCGTCTGTTTAGTAGCAGCACTAGTATTATTTCCATTGTTAGTTTTTTATTTGAATTATTTATAGGTGGAGGAGCAAGTTCACGCAAACATAATACAAGCATGAAACAAACATTTTATCAGGTTGTTTAAAAGTAAATTTCCCTCTCATTATAAACTCTAATACCATTTGAAAAAATTGTTTTTATTCCATCCACTTTACATTTGGATCACTTTCAAAACTAATAACTTTCCATCAGTTTCTGCAGCTTCTTCTTATTGTACCTGATTAAAAACAGCATGTTAGCATTGTCATTGTGAGAGTGATGTTAGCAACATTAGCAAAGTGCAGCCTCATTGAATTGTTAACATGACAGTCTTTCTGTGTCTTTCTTTTGTGTTGTCCCCTAACAATCTTTGATTTTAACTTGTTTTATTTCTGCAGGTTGGATGAGTCTCCTATATTTGAAGGCCATAGGTATTAGCTCATCTTGTTATTCAATTTTATTAAATTATTTTAAACTTTTCCTTAAATACAAAGTTAAATGCACTGTTTTATATACACTCATTTAACCCTACAAATCTATCCAGACATAATTGAGTGGTAATTAATTGGAAGTTAATTGACTAGGTTCAGTTTTGATTGTATCATGTGATTTGTAGAGGTGTGATCAACCCCATGACGGCCCATAAGAACAGCCGGGGTGCAAAACTTCAGTGTGTTTATGTAGCTGAGGGCCACACCAAGCCTGTCCTCTGCGTGGATGCTACTGATGATTTGCTCTTCACGGGATCCAAAGGTAAAAACCCAAGATCGTTTGCAACTGAGAAAACATTATTCCCTTCTTTACCTTTAAATCTCTCCTCAAACTGATCATCCCACTCTAACGTGTGTGTGTGTGCGTGTGCGTGCGTGCGTGTGCGTGTGTGTGCGTGTGTGTGTGTGTGTGTGTTTTCAGACCGTACATGTAAAGTCTGGAACTTGGTGACGGGTCAGGAGATCATGTCTCTTGCAGATCATCCCAGCAGTGTTGCCTCAGTCAGGTACAAATACACAGCAAGTTAAATAGCAGTTACCACAGTATTTACTGTAACTAAATTGACTTAAGTGTATTTTTGATTCATTATTTATTTATCCTTGTTTTGTCATTATATTTCAGGTACTCGTCTAGTCTCGTCTTCACTGTTTCCACTGCTTACATCAAAGTCTGGGACATTCGGGATTCTGCCAAGTGTATACGCACCCTTACGTAAGAGCACCACTTTTAACATCCACGCAGCTCAACCTTGTGTCAGTGTGTTGTGTTGATGTGGTGCCTCTAATGGTGGTCTGTTGTACATGTCCTTGTGTGTCAGGTCCTCAGGCCAGGTGGGTTCAGGTGACACCTGTTCCTCAGCCAGGAGTTTAACCATCCCACCAGGAGAGAGCCAGATCAACCAGATCGCTCTCAACCCGTCAGGCTCCTTCCTTTACGCTGCTGCTGGCAACTCTGTACGCATGTGGGACCTCCGCAAGTACGTTCTAACACAGATTAGATTAGTTTTGGCTGTGCAAACCATTTCTGAGAGGCAGACAGAAAATAATCTCATGTTCCCTCTTTTTCTACAGGTTTGTGTCCACAGGGAAGCTGACTGGACATTTGGGACCTGTCATGTGTCTGACTGTTGATAAGTTAAGTAACGGACAGGATGTTGTTCTCACTGGATCTAAAGACCATCATGTTAAAGTAAGAGAAACACACACACAGCAGCAATCATATATACTGACATTAGTGTTTTATTCTTCCTTTATTGAAAGTATTTTAACCTTTTCATTTATTTACTGGTTTAAATTTCTCAAGAACCAAGATGCTGTAACTTTAGCTCAAAAATTATTGGGCAAACACAAAGATCTCTCATGCAGCTTTATTCCAAGCCAGTCCTTAAAAAGCCATATAAGATTATCAATGACTGCTGATGAGTTTTAGATTGCCTGTATGTTAAACTAATAGGAAGAAGTTTGGGTTTTCCAGATTCAGACTGGTGAACAGTAACAGTGCAGGGGATGGTCATTTTACATTGATGAATGTATTTGCACTTTAACTTATACACACACAAGTTCTAATGTGACATTTTTTTTCAGTGTATTTTCTAAACTTTTAACAGATTTTTAGATTTGAAGTTTAGTCTTGTCTATTATGTGCGTGGATGAATTGACTCTCCACTTATGTCTGCTCCTCTGAAATCAATACCCAGTCTTATTCATGCAGTAAAACTATTCTATAGCTGCTTTCAGACATGCAGTGAAGTCTGGACATTTTCCTGAAAGTTTTAGGAGGGCGTGCACATGAGAAAGCACATTTTTGCCTCAGTTAGTCTGGACACTCTCTGGAACTTATCCTGCCAGCTTTCTCGTAAAATGTCGAGTGAGAATACAGCAGGGAAGTTTCCAGAAAATGTGGGCATGTTGATCATGTTTCTAACGTGCAAAAGTTGAAGAATACAAATATTTAAGTGTGAAAATGAGAAGCTGTAGAAAATGCAGACGAAGAAGTGAAAAGAACCTACACGGATGTCGATGTGCTTTAAACAAAAACATTGTGATTTGTAAACATCATGTTCTGCCTCCTGCATGCTACTCCTGTTGTTATTAACATGTCTTACAGACAATCTCACGCTGTGTTCTTCATATGTGAAAGGCAAACTCCGGAAAATGTCCAGACCCAATCCTCTGGACATTTTCTGGAGTCCATGTCTGAAAACAGCTTATGCATCGAGGGCATATGTGCTTCTTTCTCCAGATGTTTGAGGTGGCAGAAGGTGCTCAGGGCAGCATCAGCTCCAGCCACACGTTTGAGCCCACTCATCAGGATGGCGTGGAGTCCTTAGCCATGCACAGAGATGTTTTCTACAGCGGCTCCAGGGACTATTACATCAAAAAGTGGGACTTAGCCAGTAAACAGCTGCTACAGGTAGGCTGATATAGCCTCAGGGATTGGCTGTCCATCAAGCTTGACTTGCCCAGATATAAATTTTTTATATAATCTGATTTTTTAAGAAATAAAAAGCCAAATGTGCTCTGAAGAACTGTGGTCTGCTTTTTCTTCCAGCAGTCGGCCAGCGCTCAGGCAGACTGGGTTAGCGCTCTGGGCGTGGTGCCAGGCTCCCCGGTCCTGCTTAGCGGATGCAGGGGAGGGCTCCTGCGCCTCTGGCATGCCAACTCGCTAGCACCCCTCGGCGAGGTCCGGGGACACGACAGTCCCATTAATGGCCTGGCCACCAACAGCAGCCAACTATTTACAGCCTCCGAGTGAGTCACAAAACATGCTCATATGAATTTTTATGCTTCTTCTTTCTTTATGACTCTCAAATCTGTCATGATGCTGGGCTGTGGCTCGAGCAAAACACACTAAATCTTATAAAAGAAATACAATTTTAAAACCAGCAGGGATTTTTATGATTTTGTGTTTGTTGTGTTTTTATGACAGTGACCGCACAGTGAAAATTTGGGAAGCTAAAGGATCTCTGGAGGAAGGAGTCCACTGACATCTGCTTCCTGATAATCACGAAGCAGCCCTGCATGCGAGCAATGTCCACTGGCCTCCCACCATTTAAAACAAGCCTGCAAACTGTGTATTGGAGCCCAGGAGTCAAGGAAGTGATTATTTCAGGTCAACATGGAGCTCCGAGGATCACAGAGCAGCTGCAGTGAGCTGCACCTTTCATAACTGTGACAGAAGATAATGAAAACCAATTATGGATTTTATGGATCTGTCCTAATTGATCCAGGAGTCTTTCCTCTGTTTCAACATTCCTCTCCTCAGTTCAGCGCAACACAACATGGATATCCTCTATGCTGACGAATTTTCTGCACAGCTGCTGTTTCCTTGCACCAATTGCAATTGTTGCACTGCGACTGCTGGAATAAGTGTTTGAATCTTCTGTTCGCCAGCAGTATCATGTCCCATGTTTCAGGTGTGTATTTGTGTGTGTATTCGCTGGAACCAAGGACAAAATAACTACTGAAACTGCATTTGGACGTGTTCTTTAGTAATTACTGCCGAATAATAAACCCCTAGTGGGACAAAAATGGACTCAATAATACAAACATGTAACCCCATGGTAATTTATACATTCTTTTTCGATCAGTGTTAACAAGTTTAGATGGAAACAAATACTCATATTAGCCACTTTTTCACTGGTCAAGAAACCCACTAACGCCTGGCTGTTGTCTGTAATGGTAATGGACACAATCAGCATTCACTCCCAGGTCAAATGACTGGTGCGTTTGTGACAGCTGGCAGTAGGAAAGGAGTCAGTCAGGTTTTTATTGTGGGTTTATCTGCATTTAAAAACCTGCATACCTCCACTTGTTTTGGTGTAAAAGTTGAGTGAGACACTGCCATGTAAGCAGCATTTCCTAATTATCTTAGCCCAAATAAGGTCATACTCAGAATGAGCAATAATCGGATTAAGATGAGTATTCTGAATTTATACATCTTGATCGCAGTAAAACCTCATATTGGAGTTATAACATTACATATTTTGGCAGTTACCAGCTGCTTGATGAAGTATGTCCTGAGTTCAAATTTAAACAAGATTTAAAAATGAATTTTTGAAGAAGAGGAAAAGCTGAAGCTTCATAGTATATGGTAGCATAGTGCATTGCACTTTTTTAGGCTGGGGTTTTAAAATAATGGCAGGAACGTTGGATGCATGATGTAGTGGACATAATGTGAGTCATAATCAGACTCTGCTCTATAACACAGTTGTATGAATGGAATAATCTATTAGTAACTCATGTAAACATCATAATCAGAGTAATGTCTAATTCAGAATAAGGTCAATAATCAGATTATTGGTGTCAATGTAAAAGTAGTCACTGTGTTCCTCTGCTGACTCACATCATGTCTCTATAAAAATGTTTATGGTTGAGCGATATTCCTACATACTAACAAGCAGTGAGTACAAAAAAGACATGTCTGTCTGAGCTTTTCAAGTAAAACCTCCAGATAAGCCCTGCTTTTTATCTGCAAATTGTCTTATCGTCAAAACGCAGACAGTCGCTGTTCAGTCCAGATTAAAATGGGTTTCCCCAGCTTGTGTACCTCAGAGCAAGGTAAACACTGTTTTCCTCTTTGTCAGCTGTGTGTTGTCAGCAGTCAGCTGGGTTTCTGCTCTCAGTATTCTCTGGTTGACACACAGTTTTTGTACCTTTTTAAGTGTTTAAGTAGCTTTTACTTTCCCAGTGCTTTCCCGTCTGCTCGCTCCCCTCTGGAGTCTCGAAGCTGCGTCACCACCTCACATTCTCTCACCCACTGGGTTTTGATTTTTCAAATATGAAGATTACCTGCTGATTTTTTATATTCTCAAAACTGAAGTACAGCCATGGCAGCAAGTGCTTTTAGTAAGATGTTTGCTGGAGTCATATATCACATAGTTTGACAAGCAGCTGTTAAAAATCTGAATAATGTGAATTTAAATCATTTACATTGTTTTAACCAAGCACCTTGTAACTCCTAAAAGTCATGGAGTATGATATCTGTATTTTGTGAAAGCATCTGTCCATAAAAGGTGTGTGTTTGTGTTTGTGTGTGTGTGTCTGTGTGTGTATTTCAATCCAAATGATGTGATAAGTTCTGTCCATGTATAGCAGCTCAAAACATCTTTCAACTTGAGTGTAAAAAACAACAATTACTATTTATTTATTTTTCTTCATTGATTATTGATTTTTGCTTCTTGCTGTTGTGTCTTCCTCATCAGTCAGATATCTCATTCCTATCCAATGCCTCTGATATCAAAGCATCGTAGACTGCACAGAAATTATGTGATGGATTTCTCCATATCAGAGGTGAATTATCCAGTGCCTGTTGTAAATCCTAAATTGTAGGACTGTAGAAATGTGCGCCTCATTATCCTTCATTAAAATGTTCAGGTGACAAGTTGATAATTCCTTTGAAATGTATTTCTGGTCTTTTTGATATTGGAGGTAGACACTATTGGCAATGTTTAGGTCAATGGGTCTAAAATATTTGCACTGAAAAAATCTTTAAAAATTTTAAAGAAATTCCCCATCTGACTCGGAACATAGATTACATTAGAGTGAAATAAACTAAAGTAAGTCCCATTGACTGGCACTTTGCTACAGTAATTATCCCAGTGAGAACCAATGGGTTACAACTATTCTTAATTCATGATGAATATTAATGATCCTTCGAATTGCAGTTATGTTTTATTTTGTTTTACTTCTCTTGTGTGTAAATACAATTGTGTTGTTCTTTCCTGCTAATTCTGTTTCAAGTGATTAAAATATCAGCTGCAGTGTGAAAATAGATTTTAAAATAAACCGGTTTTACAAGCATTAAGTTTTTTCTTCACTTTCTTCATGTATTAATGGCTTACGACCACATGGTGGTAGTAATGTATAATAACACGTGATGTGCTACTGGATAAATCATTATCTTTTATGTTGAGATTTTGGCAAAGTTTTTAGTTGTTTGATTTGTGTTTTCTCTGGCATTTCTTTAGGGTGACATCTGCTTTAAGGGCAAGCAACAGAAAATTCAACTTTTGATTGGTTTCCTTAAACTTGGTTAATTAAATTCCAGGCAGTATTCACATTCACAACCCAGTCCATAAATTACAAAACATCATGTAGCAGCTTGATCATACGGAGACGTTAGAACCCCTTATGATTTTATAACTATGCAATAATATTCTAAAGTGCTTTGTGATAAAAACAGAACTATAAAAGTAATCGTTGCTCTACAATTATTACAGCAATTCTGTACTGTCTGTAAAAGGGGGAATAAGGACTCACTCAAGACCACAATCCGTCACCACTATTTACATTACATTACCTATGGATCCTATCTGCCCTCACTAAACCATCTTTTATCTGCAAACATACTTCACACTTCCACAGCTTATTGTACCTGCAGGCAGGAATATTTGTGTCTTTTGATTAACTCAAAAAGAGCAAAAAGACAAAGAGAGGGTGAGGTGGAGAAAAAAAAAGATGGTAGTTAGAAATCCCCCTGAAGACACAAGTTAATGTGAACAGTGATGGAAGGATCAATATTTAATGTTCAGCGGCACTGAGAGCAGCAGAGTGTTAATTGGCCTCACAGGAGTGGAGCATCGACGCAGGGCAGCATCACACTGCCTCATGTGCTCTGCGTTCAACTTCTCCTCTGTTGTACTTTATTGTGTTCTAATAAGTGCTTTGCGATGACATAACGCACTCCCACAATGCATCTTTCAACCCAATTAACTCAGCATAACTTATTCCTTTGCTCTCCTGGGTTTGACCGGGAAATTATTATTTCTCATTCTGAGCAGTGTGATGGATCATTGTTAGCTTGGATACCAGCGAGCCGCTACATCTTTTCTGTACATACACAAATATGACTATGCACAAGGCACTAATGTATATAATGATAGAGCCTCATGTGCTGACTTTCCAAAATTGCTTCTCAAATGCAGTGGTTCCAAAGCTTGGGGTCAGGATGCCCACAAGTGGTCGCCACATTAATCCTAGGGTCCCCAGCTCGTTACCAGGAAGGAAAATAACAAAAGACAAACATTGCTACCCAAAGTTATGTTTATTTTTGGGAATCTTTGCTTGTCTTCTAAATCTTTCCTTCCATCTTTACTGTCAGGGAGAATCAAGTGACATCCACATTACCGGCACATAGTGCACAACCCTGATGATCCAGTTTCACCAGGAATCAATGATGACGTCTCAGACGACACACTACCTGGGCCAAGAGTTCCACTTCGGTTTAATTGTAGCTCAATCTATGACGGGTTTGGATAACATATCCTCCTTTAATCTGTTCATTGTACATTGATTGGTGATGAGCAGGGGCCCCCACCAGATGCTCTCATTTCACAGTTAAATCTGTCTGTATTTATGGGATTTGTACGGCTGTGGCTGCTGTGCATGAGATTAAAATGGATACAGGTTCATTTCTATCTGAAATGGCCTGGGACATGTGTGTGTGTGTGTGTGTGTGTTTCGGACTAAAGACCATTTAATTAAGGAAGTGTAAGTAGAATCCCCAAAAGTACATATCATATGTAAAGAGTAAGCCGGAGAGACACATAATGAGGACTGTGTGTATTTGTGTGTGTGTGTGTGTGCGTGCATGCATGCATGCGTGATGATTTTTGGTTGGGTGGTTAAGATTAGGTTTAGGCTATGGTTAGGGTTAGGCAAATAGTGGTTATAGTTGTGTTTATGGTATAATCTCCAGGAAATTAATGTAAGTCGAGGGTCCCCAAATGTAATTTGTGGTCACAGACAAATGTGATGGGATAAGTTGGAGACATTTGCCCATTTAGAAGACAGTGTGTGTGTACCTTGCTATTCTCACCTGCTGTATGTATAATGATGTGCTGTGCCCTCTCACAAACTGCAGGGTGAAAAAAAGCACATCCTATTTGCATTTCATGTCTTTGACAGCTACATGTAAACAAACCCTGGGAAGGAATCGTGGGGGAAGTCGTGGCTGAGTTAGAAAAAGAAACAAAGCAAGAGAGAAAAGATATGGTGTGTGTGTATGGGGTTAGGGAGGGACAGGTTGAGACAGCCAAATGGTAGTTAAAGCCGTTTTGCTGAGCAGCAATGAGGCTCAGGAGGAGCAGGGTCAATATTCACCACCCCTGTATCCGCAAAAATGCATCCTCCAGCTAAAAATACCAGCACGGCTGCTTTATGACCAGAACTGATGAGTTGTGATACTGCTATTTGCTCTTTAAAACTGTCTGCAGAGAACCACCTAGTACCCTCTCAGCGCATCTGAGTTGTGAAGCCAACAGACGGGGTAGAATAAGAGTTTTTAACATGCCTCTGAAAGCAATTTAGCATGAAATTAGAAGCCCGTACTTATTGATTTCATCCACTAAATCACTTTGACTTAATATGTCTCAGTAAAGGGAGCAGCATGAAGAGGTGGAAATTAGCAAAAACTAAAGGACAGACCCAATTTCAGAGCCCATCGACTATCACCTGACAACAAATTTCCCTCTGGGGGCAATGACCAATATTTTGGGGCTTCTGATGTAGACAGGATATCTGGGCCAGGTCTTCCATTGTGTTTATTTTATCTAACATGTTTAACATTTCTCCACTAAAAACATAAAGCCCAATCATTTCTGTAGGTGTTCTAGGTCCAGGCAACATTTTGGCTAAGAGCTTTCTGCCATATGAATGCAGATAGATGAAAAGCCGATAGCGGATGCATTTCGGTCAGTGTGTTCTGCATCTTTCGCACGCGGACTGTTTACCTGCGAGCAACCAAAGCCTGCGGTGGCCTAGAGACCGTAACACACTGCAAATTAAGAAAACACATGCATAAAGAAAAAACACGTGCAATTTAAGAAAACAACTTCATCAATTTGACGACACGTGTGGAAAAAAGACAACAGAAATGTCTCCAGGGGACCCTAAACAGTGATGAACCTAGCTGTGCGTCAATGCTTGTCACGTTATTAAAGTCTGCTACTCCTCAGAGGTGATTCAAATGGGGCCCCTGGAAACATTCCCAGTGTTGTTTTTGCTTTTTGCAGCACAATTTGTTTGAAAATCAGGTGTGTGCTCTGGTATATACAATTACATTTGACAGAAGAAAGCTCTTTACGTTTTATCACTCTCCATGCAAATGCTGGTCAGTGGCAGTTGTGTGTTTAGTGGCTGAGTGTCAGTGTCTATTAAACCCAGAGAGCTCTCCAGTTGAACTCTGTGCAGTGGAGAGTAAATGAGCACTTTAGAGATCATAACTACCTGGGTCCTCAACAGTGCAGCAACATGACATTTAGCCACGGCTTAGCTGAAAGAGCCAAGGGAGATTTAATGCAATTTACTTAATTATTTATTGTGACGATTGAGACCTGGTTTAACATTTAAACTAATTGATATCTGACGGGAATTTTCTCCAGTAAATGTTTTGTTATTTGGGCATTCATACAGATTTTTGATTAAAATTAGCATCAAGGCTCTGGGGAGGGCAGTACCAGCCCATTAAACAATGGGCGCAGTCCAACACCAGTCACTGTTAACTACTGAGCGAATTACCATCAAATTTAACGCAGACATTCACTGTTCCCAGAGGGTGAACCCTATTGATGATGGTGTTCCCCTATCTTTTTTTTATCTTGTATCAAATATATCAAAAGATTTATGGGATGTACTTGTGCAACATTTTGTGCAGCTGTTCATTGTTTCCAGATAATGAACCCTACTGACTTTGGTTTTCCTCTAGTGCTACCACGAGTTTGACTTTTATGGTTTTAAGTGAGAGGTATTAACAACTCGCCTAGTGGATGGATTGCCATCATATTCTGTACATATATTCAACTAAGGAAAACCTTTACTAACCTTAGTGATCCCTATAGATCGAGATGAGAAGGATCAGATGGATCGGTCGTCTCCTGAGCACGTCCAATGATGGGATCCCTAAAGCTATCCTGAGGTCGACTCCAGCTGGCAAAAGAAAGAGGGGCAGGCCAAAGATGGCTGAGCAGGAGGAGCTAGAGGAGCTAGGGGAGATGGACTTTGATCTGTGGAAGAAGGTTATTGCAGCCATATGTCTCAGAGGGGTCAAGTGTACAGGTAAGTAAGTCAAGTTGGTGATCCTTTAAATTTACATCTCCATGGAATTTCTTGGAAACCAAAATTGGCCTTGCGGCATGTTTTTTATGAAATATATGATTATTGTGCTCAGAAAGCCTAGATCCAATTGTTTGAATCCAGTTTGTGGAAATGTAAGTGAATTAAATGCATCACGATGTTCGAATATATGTCCAAAGATAAATTACGTTCATAAATATTCAGCATAAAATGCACCATAGATAGATTTATGAAGAAAAATAACTATATTATTTCTTCTGTTATTTGTTTTGTCTTTATAATATAAGAGATAACATAATTTATTCAGGAAAGCGAAAGTTGATAAAAAATTTGCCCAATATAAATTCACATTCACAAACACATTATGATGAATGCTAGGAATGTTTTTTTAATATAGATACATGAAATTGCTTCCAGGACTGTGTATTAATTGTGCAGCAGTTTATACGTAAAAAATGTGTTCATTCATAATGCATGAGTAGTGATTGTGCTGTTTTAGCTGTATTGTGATTAATGGATTAATAGTTATGCATCTTTAATCAAGAGTTGCTCTGTGTAGTACAGTCAGATGGCAATGGTGTGAAGTTTGCTCACACAAACAGCTTGTCTGTTTGTCTGTACACTTTTTGTTTGTGTGTGTGTGTGTGTGTGTGTGTGTGTGTGTGTGTGTCATTGCATATCCATTATATTTGCCCCTGTGTCTGCATGAACCCAACCACCCC